GGTCATATATCAGGTCCAAGTGCCCCCAGGTCACACCAGCAGCCCTCCTCTCTCAGCTTTGTGCATTTGTTTAGAGCTCAAGTCCACTCACACATACATACTGCGGGCTATTAACTAGCCAGCTGACACTTTTATACTTTTACAGCCCTGCTCCTACTGTGTGGATAGACCATTACAGATGCAGAGATGCCTTGACTTTCCCACCTTGGCAAACGAAGGATATACGCACTCGGATGGTGTTGACTTTAGTTTTTCCGGGTAAGGGGGCAGTTTGATGTGTGTAAAAGCACTTTTACTCAGAATTCCCATCAGCAGGTTATATAATGTTTGTATTGTATGACGTTGTTTCAGCTGATTAGTTGGGATTACTATCTTGTTTTGTTGCTGCTGTAGGTTGATGGAAGGTTCAACACGGCCCCATTATTACTTAAGCTAAGCAATTTATTACAGTCAGTGTGAAATCATAGTTTGAATTGTTCTTGTTAGTTTAGTTTAGTCCACTCCTTTACTACTCTAATTCTGTTCATCAAAATCTGTTATACAACTTAAACTTTTATTTAAAGGTACAGAATGTAACTTTCACCTGCATGATTCTATGGAAATATGATGTCAAAACCTCCTCCAGGTGATATTAAAGTCAGTTCTGTGGAGATGCAAGCCCACTCAGAGTAAAAACATCTTTTTTAGTGCAATAAACCAAAATGAAAGCTTTTATTTGAGCCTATTTTGTGGCTAAAACATTACATTCTGTGGCTTTACGTCATTCAATCTACCATAACTTTTATTCAAATCAGATGAAGTATCATTTTATATTTGTTAAACACTGATTTACGCTTATAGTCTTAAAATCTATTTGCCCCATTTGGGTTTATGAGAATTTTGGCAACGCATTTCCCCTCATCTGCTTCCTATTTCACTGTTGTCTCGCTATCCCTCACTTATTCCATGATCTATACAAAAGGGTCAAGCGCATTATATATTAAGCCAAAGTAACATACTGCAGACACACCTTTTAAGCTGTCACCATTGTTATGCAGCCCGGGGTAGTTAAATCACCAGGCAAACTTTCAACAACATTGGCACCGATACAGAATAGGCAACAATAGCTCTGTTATGGACAACTAAATCCACCGCACCACTACTGTTACAGCAACCACCTGTAAACAAACGTACACAAGGCCACCAGGCGGGCAGCAGGCGTGGGCCCCATTGACACTGATATGCAATCTGATGGATAGACAACAATTAGAGCTCCCACACGCGGTGCAGGGTGGCCAGGGCTCCGGGGCAGGGGCAGGAGAGGGGGGCAAACTAAACTAAAAGGGGGTTAAACATTCACCAATCTGTCTTGCTAAGATCACAGTGCCCTGAAGCAGCTGATCGGAAAGAGAGGAGGAGACTTGTGCACGTAGGTGGAATAGAGTAGAAGGAAAGGTGAGAATTAAGATAAAGTAAAATATTCGGTTTATATTTATGGACTGGTTTAGGGATAGTTTTAAAAGCTGTTATTTCAAGTTATCTGTGAATAAATCATACTAAATACAAAGCAATAATAACACTTATGATATGTGCAGTCTAAAAACGTATTACTAAAGAACATGAAACTTTTCTAGTGGAGGTTCTGCTCCCTGCTTGTCATAATCCAGATGTTTCTGCTTTGCCTGCAGTGTTCCACAGTATGGCATTAACTTTAACTTAAATTATCTCCACGGGGACCAGCAAGTGACTTCACCAGTCTGAGTTACAGGCCAGATCTGTGAGAATGCATGTTTTTAGGGTACACTTATTAACATCTAACTACCCGCTAATTAGCAGAGTTGTAAATGGTTAATTTGTCATTAATTAGTATTTATTCAGCACTTATTAATGTCTAATTCCTCATAAACTTATTCTGCTATTAGTTATTTACAAACACTTTCCTATTAATAAATTTCTTATTATTGCTTATTAATATGATAGTAGGTCATTTTTGTTCATGAATTATGATTCTAATAAGCTTTTGGCACAAATAACTAAAAACTAAATTTCTTCTGCTTCTAATCCTTAACAACACCAGCTTATTAGAATCATAATTCATGGACAAAAATGGCCTTCATCATACTATTAAGCAGTAATAAGGAGCGTATTAATAAGAAAGCGTAAAAATCTAACTAATAGCAGAATAAGCTTTTGGGGAATTGCATATTAATAAGGGTTAAATAAACACAAATTAAAGACAAATTAACATTTACAATATGCCAATTAGCAGGTAGTTAGATGTCATTAAGTGTTTCCTAAAATAAAGTTTTACCCATGGTTTTTGTATGTATTTTTAGCAGTCAAACATTTGGATTAAGTTAAGTTTAGTGCCATACTGTGAAATATTCCAGGCAAAACAATAAAAAGCATTAGAAAAGTTACCTAATTAATTAATTATGACAATTAAATATAGAAAATAATTTTAGAAAATGTACATATATATTTAAAGTAATAACTGAAGTTTACTAAAAGTGAGATAGATCAGTTTGAATGTTGGTTTTAATTGCAGTGTGAACATCTCCATTTAATTCAATCACCTAAAGCTGGACAGGACCAAAATCCCATCAGTCTTTGCGATGCGCAGCGCTGACCCCACATCAGATAAAAGGGGGTCACTCGTCTGTGGTCATGTGACTTCTCCTCATTCTGCTCCTAATCTCCCCTCACCTGACCACACTGCTGGATAATCCTTCCATTTAAAGCACACGAGTCAAATATGCACAAATCCTCTTTTCATGACAATTGTGTAACTTTTTGAACTTTCATGCTTCCATTTATCCGCTGCAAGACTAAACATATCAAACCAGATAAAACATTTAAAGTTATCTAAATACTTTTACTGTCTGGACTACAAAAAACACTCTAAAGCAAAACAAAACAGTTGAATTGTTATGGTAAATCAGTGGTTCTCAAACTTTTTTTTTTTACTAAGTACCAGCTAAGAAAATATTTGTAACACCAGATTTAAACTAAAACAAGAAGTACACCAGGTTTAAACTTGATCTAAAACAGGATTACTTGAGTAATCCTAAACAAGGACTAACCCAAAGTAGGACAGCATTTAAAAATACAAAATTAAACGCCTCTCTATATATTTTTCTTTCTGTTGTTTTGACATATAAGTTGTTCACTGAGTCACCTTTTCTTACACCACCCTGACCACTTATCCAGGCTTAGTGCAGGCACAAAGAGTTATTGTAAACATCTACGCATGGCTTTCTAAATATAGTCAAATTAGTCTTCTCTAATTATCGGACTAGTGTCATTGGACTCTTGGGGCGAGAAAAACTTTATACCAGTAAAACCTGTAACACCATTTGAAAACTTTTGACCTGTAGGATCGCCCAGCGTGGAGCCTAACAGTCTAAGACATCAACAACAACAAGTATAGCTCAGCCTTTCATTAGAACCACAGGTAAACGCAGCACCTGACCCCCTGGGCAAAGGTCAAAACACAAAGGACAAGACAGAAGAGGAGGCGTTAGTGGTTTAAAAAAGTGATTCTAGCTTGCAATTAGCATGCTGATTAAGGCCTGGGAACAAAAGCTTTTCAAGAATGTGCATGACCGTCCATCACAACAAAGTAACAACAGACGGCACTAGTGGAGAGCGGGGAAAGAAACGCTCAGATTGCACGTGTTTTTGCTGAACACGTAGAAATGGCGTATTAAAGTAATTGACTCAGAAAGGGTTGAAAGACGAGTGTTTTTCTCTCTCCTACAGCTTGTCTGCAGTCGGGAAGGGCACCAGCGCAGTGCCAGTACAAACAGTGACCCACCCATTTCACAGCCCATGTCCACCCACACTCTAACATACCACTGTGTACTACTACTACTACTTTACTACTACTACTACTACGAAGACGACGACCATAAGTACTACAGGTACAGACTATGGTGAGAAATGCATGCTACTTTTGGATATATGTGAGCCTTCCCGTCAAGCCCGATGTTATCTTAAGTTTATACGATTTTGAGAATTGATTTATATGATGTTGTGAAAACAGGAAGTTAACTGTAGTATTGTAACAGTTATTTGTGTAGTTTGATAGCATGAAGAAATGCAATCAGTCACTGTCACTCATTTGTTTCCCACGTAACAGACTGACTTTATGTAATCTTTTTTGTAGTGCAGGCGTAGACGAAACAAGATTTCTCAGTTCTCATTTTTATGCTGTAGTCGTAAAGTCAAACGTAACTTAATTTTTACTGCATTTACCAATATATACACAGATTTATTCCGTCTTCTTTCAAGTACTTCCTCATTTCACATTTCCTTAAAGGTGCATTGTGTAACTTTTCTGGTGGAGGGTCTGTCAAATGCTTTTCTCCATAGACATGTTATTGTTTTGTCTAGAATGTTTCACAGTATGGCATTAAACCTTTCTATCTTAATGGAGACCAAACTAGACAGAGAACTAGAAGTTACAGGTCAGATCTGCAGAGTGGCAACCCCGCTCTCAGTCAGAATGCCTGTTTTTCTAGGTATTTTTGAGCTGTAAAACCACTTGTAATTGAATAAATGTAAGGTAGAGCTGTTTAAAGTCATACTGTGAAACATTCCAGGCAGAGCAATGGCATATCCATAGAAACAAGCAGGTGATAGACCTCCAAACAAAAAGTTACACAGTGCACCTTTAATAAAAGCTTGTATAAATCATAATGTCTAGAATTTAAAACTTTAACATAATTTTAAAACTACTCAGAGCTTATCTAAGGTAAAAGAATTAAGAACTGCAAAACGAAGTTACACAACAAAACAAGATATTTCAGTAGATTAAACTGGAGTTTCAATAACAGTTTCACTCAAAACAAAATGTAGAAATCTCAACTTCATTGCAACACAAACAAATAGTATGTCAATGTAACAATATTGCAAAAAAGATTCTATTCTACTGTCTTGTTAAACCTCCCCACAAGAGTTGCTCCAGCCTGCTCCTTTTACTCTCATCCCACTTTAACCCGTACGAGTTTGAGTCTTACCTTCTGGCTCCTCTGTGGTCTCCTCGTCTTTAGCAGCGGTGAGGGGGGGCCGTGCTACGCTGAGCGACAGCAGAGACACCAGAACCAGCGCAGCCAGCAGCCGGGCCATTCCGTTAGAGAAGAGCCATACCCCCCCTCTCCACCTCCCCCTGGACACTGATCCCATCTGAGGGCGTCCGGCAAACCATCAACTGCTGGAGGCGCGGACTGTCACTCACTGGAATTCTGCCAATCACCTACGAAAAGAGAAAGAAGAAGCTGTTAAGTGAGAGTGAAACAAGGATTAACAAATCTATTATGGATAATTTAAATGTATATTCAGTAGTTTGATCACATAATCCGTACACAATGCAGTTTTCAAAATCTAAACTTGAGCCAAATATTTCAAAAACATAGCATTTTCTGTATTTAAATATATGTAGGGCACCTTGATTATGGCAAAAAGCATCTCAATTATTTGTGTCATAATTGAAGCAAAGATTATTTCACGTAATTACTTATAAAGTCTGTAATTTTTTTGTTTTATTTTTGAATAATTCATCTTATCGATTTGTATTTGTGTTAGACTACAAACATTTTCTTACTCACTTCCGAGTCTTTCCTGAGGTTTTTACATTTTCTTTTCTAGCCTGTCCAAACATTTTTCTTAACACTTTCTTGCGTTTGTTGAAATCAAATCCTCCACAGCCCACTTCAGGTCCTCAGCCCGCTGCTTGAGAACCACAGAATTAGCCTAAATCAACAGCGCCATGATCGGGACGGTGTTACAAAATGCTGTCAAACCCGCTGTGCCACAGACATACCGAGGCACTGAGGCACCAGCAACGCATCACTCCTGCCTTCTTCAAAGTATAATTGTAGGCAGTGTGCACTGGTTAGGCTTAACGCAAACTAATTAGCCCGGCAATGCTGCGTTAAAGCGGTCAATCACAGCGCGTAAACCGGTCTCATGTCTGTGTGAGTCATCGCTTATTCAGTGATGAGGGCTTTTTATATGGAAATGTGGGATCAGCCAACCCTCATGCGGTGTGGAATCTGAATACCACTTTATTAGCTTTTCTAAATTGAGAATAAATGAAATACAGGATGGAATAAATCAATTTGGAGTGGGTACTTGCAACACGTTAACCACAATAGAGCAAATGTGTCAATTATATGGATATTATTTTGTTCCCGTGCGCAACAGATGCCTTAAACCTGTTGCTACGTCGCTCCGTCTTTTCTCTTTGCCACTTCAATAAAACGCCACTGCTTTTGAGTTCTTCTGCTTGATTATAAGAGCCTTAAGATTATCACTGAAATGCAACACTGTTTTATTTGGGCCAGTCGCGCTCGCATGTGTGCAAGCAAGCAGACATCTGCGGTACAAGCGCACACCACAGTCTCCAGAGGTTTGGTGAAGTCACGCTTCCCTGCGCTCCTTCTCACTCCAGCTGGAGAGATCGATTTGTGCAACCCGCAAACGCACATGGAACAGACTGGGACTATGAGAGGAACTAGTTAAACATAACCCTATTTAAACAGTTTGAATAATTTATCCACAATACAATGCAGTGCAGTTCATGCGCATTGACATTTTGGACACAGTGATGGCCAAGACGCAGAGAAGTATGACAAAACAATTAATACAACAGCAAAACAAGTATGCATATCACTGGTAAACATACAAACTAAAAAAATGTATATATATTTTTAACAATACATAAATATAAACCAGTTTTTCATTGGCTAAAGATGAGACAACCCAAAGCACATCCCAAACTCTCCAAACGCATGAAGTAGACTATCTGCGCAGAAATGACACAACTATGAATTATATATTGCGCAGCATATGATAAATGCAACGAAAGTAACTATAGCGGATGACAAAAAATAAAGTTCAACCTCTCAAACCTTTGCAGATGTGTCCGCAGTGCCGTTGTGCGTCGTGACAGCGGGAACACACGAGGTTTCCACACAAACACGGTGCACCGCAACTTTCATTTAACAAAAAAACAGCCTTTGAATGAATTTTCTTTGGCACTGATTAAATTCCTATTGAAATTCAAATCACTTGGCTCCCGTTGACAATGGGGGCTCATTTGGAGGCGCTCAGTGATTTAGGGCTCCAGCACCAAGCAGTGGAAAAACAAGTGCGGTCACGGGATAATTGGCAACGTAAATGCGACGTAGAAAATTAAGCCAAGTAATAAATAACCAGGACACTGTTAATGGGGTCTAAACAGTGGTGATGCAAGATGCTGCGTGGTGTTGGTCCTACTGTAAACATCATCGATTCTTTTTTACTAAACACAAATTACTACTTGCCTTAATGTATGCAAGGTAATTAATTAACGACGTTTTAAGATTCTAGCGGGCTAAATGCACATTAATTCAAATTATCTGCGTTTTAACGAAATGAAACTTCAAGCAACTCCGTAAAGTCAACATGGAAAACTCTAGACTTTGATTGTTGCATGTGGCGCTTGCACAAAACGAAAACAAAACGTAATAGTAGTATGCGTAAAAGTTATCCAACTGTGCGTAACCGAGCGTAAATGAGGGACTTGAGGGTTGGGGTACTTACTTGTATGAGCTAAAGTCGTGGAGGTATCTGTTTTGGCATGCACAGATAAGGGAGGAGAGAGCATGGGCTGAATTCACACACAGGAATGCCCCGACTCCACAATGCACCAAAAATCTCTACGACGCGCTGTTCTTTTCGGCTTTTCCACTCCTCCAGCCGCCGCAACAAAAGTGTACACAGGTATAATCCAACTTCTGCTGCGAGTGTAGTCCAATGCCACGCAAAGAAATCCGACTTTTTACGCGTTATCCTTTGGGAACTCTACGGAAAATCTCGCAGCGCAGTCCCTCTGAAACTTTGCTCCTCCAAGTTTCTGCTACATGCCCCGTCTCCACTTGTCAAAGGCGCACAGGGTCTGCAGACTGTGAGAAGAAGGGGAAGAGACCAAAAGCGTGTAGCTGTCCAATGTAAAATGTCATAAAATCCCTGCGATGCGAACTGTCCCCGCGAAACGAGCGTCTTCCGTGCGTCTCTGCGTCTGCCAGCCCTCGTACTGTTCCTCAGACGCTTTGTCAGGTTTACGAGGTTTTTTCTGCTCCTTACTTCTCCACACACAGCCCTCCTCCTTCGCTTCAGTGGGTGTCATTCCCCCACGAGCACCCCCAGTTGTAATTCGAGCCGCTTCCTGGCCGCTCAGCCTTCCTCCGCCCATCAAACTGCAGCGCTGCCTTTGCCTTGACAGTCCCGCGCTCCGAGGCGAGGGCCCCAGCGCTCTGCCCCGGCTCACGCACGGGACACCGTGGTAAGCACGCCCCCCAGCGGCCGGCACATGCAGCGGGTTCAACAAGTGTCCCATATGAGATCGAGCTATAGTGCACATGCAGAACACATGGGGACAAACGCGGGCTAAAAACGATACAGGCCTATGGTTTGTCCCAGGGTGTGTCTGTGCTCGGCTGAAACATGTTCAGTAGGGTATCTCAATAATAACAAACCCCTTTTGTTTTTCTGATACCTTATTAGGCATCAGACAGCACTGATTGAATCCAGCCAACCCCACAGTGGACCATGTTGCCTTACATGCTGTTGTACAGTCTGGTATGGTGGGAAAATGTATATGTATGGCTAAAAGGATCCACTGTGCTCATAGCCTATGTGCCCAGAATAGAAAAGTGATTTCTTACAATTACTTCTCCTCACATTGTACAATCAGTAATAGTCAATATGCATTAAAACATCTGACGCAAGAACAAGATCTGCCCCTGAAAACATGTCTGAACAGAATAATGTATTTTTATTTTATTTTTTTTTCTGTATATTGCAGCAAATTATTTTATTATTTACAGCTGTACCATCAAAAAAGAAAAATATATCATCAAAATAACAAAAATATGTATACTCACAGTACAGGTTGTCTTCAAGAGGTAAGTTAAAACCTTAGCAGAATGTGTCCCTTTCTTAGATTTGTAAATTGGTTAAGGTACAAATGTGAGACACTTACCTGACAGATACATATTAAAAAACTTTATTGCATAAGGCGGGACACCAGTGCGCTTCAACAAACAGTCTGGTCTTTGCCATTTTGAGTAAGGGCCACAGTCTACTAGCCTGATTCATCAGACGGTTTCACTTCGCTCAAAGGTAGGCGGGTACTTTTTTTATTTAACCAATCGCTGCTATTTGGTCGTGACATATGTAATGCAACGCTAACGGGACTAACTTGTATATTAAGCGTTTCCCAAATCCCTCAGGAAGAAGGGCGAGAACGTCTTTCCCCTTGATTAAATTCACCAAACATTCTCTTTGTTCCGGCTTTAAATCCTCAATCTCGAGAATCGTTGCCAACACAGAATGTATGGCTCTTCGCTGATTGGCTGGTACCCGGACTCGCACTTTCAGGGTTCTTGCAAACCATCTAGTGTATTCCAATTCCTGATCGATTCGCTGGAGAGAAATGAAATTGAGCGGAGGCACTAGGTGGCACCAGCCTGGCTACCCCCCATTCTACCCCCTAAAAACCCTTTCCATCAGTCTGCAGGGCCAGTCATGATACAAACTTTTTCAATAACATGACACCGTTACATATATAAATACATGTTAATTCCAAACAGATATATATATTTGTTTATGAGTGCAGAATACCTAAGCCTGCTCTCAGATAGACCCCCTCTTAGACGCTATGTGAGTGTGACTGCATTTCTCAACAGTGAGAGTGCACAGAGGCCCCCTGTCTCTGCCCCCCACCGCCTCAAGCTGTCGCCTGCATTGGTTCAAGTGCTCTCAGTGGCAGAAGAAACTTTTATTTTTGGTGACGAAGCCTCCTTTTCATAAACAGGGGAAGGGAAACGTTTCTATTCATCCTCAAAAGAACGACTAACCTCTTTTTTCTACCCACTCTGAATGAGGCTGTTTTTCGCCTGTGCTTTCCCTCTATTTCTACCTCCAGCAGTAAAACTATCCCCATCGCACCAGCCCTGACAGTTCGGCCACGTTTTGGGGGGGAGAAGACACATTTTTCAAGGGTGACACAAAATACCCCCTACTGTTTCTCTATTTTGCTTTATTCCTCGCGCAACATAAGTCTATTTACAATCCTCTAATTTATTTTTACATCACGACAGACTCAGAGCCCTTCACCGAGGAATCCATCAAACTCATAGCCCCAATTAATTTCAACCCCCTTTCTTGCTTTATCCCTCCACTGCCCCAAAAAGAAGGAAAAGAGAAGAGGCAGCCAGAGGAAGTGACAAGTTAATAGCTAGCAATCAGTGTCCTGGATGAGTGTATTGATTAACTGTCCATAGAAATCTTTGGAATAGTCAGAAGGCGTCTCCAGCGTTAATGGGAGATACGTGTTAATAGGTGTGGGTCTAACTTAAGGTGATGGCAGGGTTAGGGGTGCTGCGTGGCCATTAGGAGACCCCCTGCTGCTATGATAATGGAGCAGGCATCAAAATGAGCTAATCAAGAGCTGGCCGTTAGATGCTTTTGTCCAGTGAGACCGCAGCAGGCAGGATAATTGTGGATTTTCAAAGTGCTCTTCGTTTGTGAATGGAATTTCTGAGTAGATCGCTCAGATGAAACAACAAAGCTGTCTGGGATAGCTGCATCTCTTTGTTAAATTACTTTCGGGGAGTTACTTTGTGTATTTGCAAATACGTCTTCAGCTGTATCTATCTCCATCTCTGTCCAAGCTTAGCGGAATAAAACAAAATACAAAATCTACATCGCAGTTTATAACAGTTTTTCACTTTTACTCAGAGGTGGGACCAAGTCATGGTTTTTGCAAGTCTCAAGTAAGTCTCAAGTCTTTGACCTCAAGTCCGAGTCAAGTCCCAAGTCAAATACAGAGAAGTCCAAGTCGAGTCTCGAGTCACTGGCCCATAAGTCCAAGTCAAGTTCAAGTTGTCTGCATGAGCTTCAAGTCATTTCAAGTCCTAAAACCAAAGTACCAAATATAGCTTAGATTTTTGCAATTTATATGCATTTTAAGATAAATTATACTTTAAAAGTCATGGTATATTTATATGTGAGTATTTATATGAAAAATGCAATTTTTTCCTTTTTAAATGTCTTGACAAGATCTTAGTGCGAATCATTACAGTCAGAACAGAAAGAATTCAGATTTAAAAGTGCTAAATAGCAGCTATTTTTTCATGTAGTCTGCAATGAAATGGAAGGATGTTTTATGCAGCTCCCTCTGTTTTACTGTATTGTACTGTATATTACTGTAGTACATTTGATGATACCATCTCACAGTACTTCAGTTACATTCAAAGTAACAAACAGAAGTGGGAGGGATATGTTCCAGTTTGTTCCTGTAAAATTCAGCACTGCATTTATCAACTGAAAAGAGAAAAGTATTTTCTAAAAACATTTTTTTAGGAGAAGCATCAAGTCTTCTCAAGTCACAGGCCTCAAATTAGAGTCAATCCCACATCTTTCAAGTTCAAGTTGAGTCCCAAGTCTTAGTCCATTTTATCAAGTCAAGTCTCAAGTCCTAAAAATAATGACTCAAGTTTGACTCAAGTCCAAGTCACGACTTGCAAGTCCCCACACCTCTGCTACTGATACTTTGCACATGATGTTGTCAATATTCCCTTCCCTGGAGGTGTGATGCTAACTGTAGGCTCTGCTATGTCTGAGGCTGAGCTTTTTTAACACAGTCTGACCAGAAAGAGCTGTTTTAGTAAGAACTACAACAGGCGAGCCGATTCTTCATGTTAAACAAGTTCCTCTCAAATGGAGTTAATATGATTAACTGAGGTTCAGGAGCTGGACCATGCCTCAACCTCCTCCACAGCCGACCTCAGCTTATCCTAACCATGCCTTCAATTACACAGAAGCCCTAATTATACGGCCTATCATGACAACACCGTCCGTGTCAGCGCTCTCGTCCCCCTCCCACCCCGTGTCTGAAGACATCATCGTCAAGAAAGGGGTGGGGTTCTAAATCAGCTGGGTGGCCATTTTGGGTTGAAGACGGAGTCCCCACCCTGAGTCCTTCCACCCACAGCCATCACATCTATCCACCATCAATAAATATCTTTATCGTATTCTATTGTTGTGGCATGGTCTGTGCTAGTGAAATAACATTACAGTCATAAGATAGCCAGCAGCTTTTCAGTTAGTCTTGAGTTTTCAGACTTAGAACTTTTTGTCACCATAGTAACTGCTGAACATTCCACCGTATAGATGCATGTACAGCTCCCCCAACACATTGTCACTGAAGAGTATCAATACAACTCAGGGCATATAGTCCATGCCTCAATCAACCAGTTAAGTTCGTTCATTAAAGTAAATCCCAGCTAATGCACAGATCTCACTCAGTATATTAGAGTCTATAGCAGTCAAGAGCTGAAGGGAATTGGTTAGATAGGCTGAGCCTTCAAATTAAATGCATTCTTGTTTATTCAGTAACCATGCACTTAAAATGTTCTGACAAAGGTATCCTTTTTGCGTTAGACTGGAGAATTAAGAGAGGGTGAATAACGCTACATAGTCACATTCATTTATTGTGAACAAGTGTAAGTAGAACTAATCACAAATTGAAAATAGCTAATGCTGCAAATTTATTCTGAGTATTTACACAAATAATCTGCCTAAATTAATTACACGTATGAGAATTTTATTGGAGGTAGATTGTTTGTTTGACTCCTGTGAGGTTTTTGTCATGTTAGTATGTTGTTACCTCATCAAAAATATACCTGGAGTTGTGTTTTGTTTCATTCACACATGTTTGAGTAACTCTTTATTATCAGTCTGTCTACATCTCCAAACCTCCAGATGCTCTGATCTACCTTGTGATGTCATTTAGTGGCAGTTTTAAAGGTCACAGCAACCTTTTAACTTTTGTTCAACAGATTGAAAACCTCAAGGCTGAAATCATCCAAATGACTCTCATGAAGATATATGGAGTTTTAAAACACAGTAGAGCACTTCATGTATTACCACATGACATCACAAGGTGGAACAGACTGTTTTCTGTTTGAGAAAGTGTACCATATATGCAGGATTTGTGTGTTAAATGTGTGAATGAAACAAAAAACACATCTCCAGATATGTTTTTCAATGAGGAATTATATATAGATTAAAACATATCCC